TACAGGGACTCTGGAAATAGAAGTTTATGAAGTAGAAGGAGGTCATTGGTTGGCATGTGAATTATGTTACTTTTATGCACATCTTGGAAACATTAAGACTGATTTTGTGTGTGGCATCATCTAACAAACTTGCAGCTATGCATTTTTTTTTAACAGGACTTAACTGTTTTGATGATTTGCAGATATTGAGGGAGATAAGCTTACATTTCTTATGATAGGTTATCTGATTTTCTGAGTGAAACAAAGACTCAATACCATGTAGGATGCTGGAATCAATGACTGCTGTGAAGTCCAGAGGAGAGCCACAAAATTTCAAAGGTCTGGAACACCTCTCCTAAGAGGAAAGGCTGAGAGAGTTGGGGTTGTTCAGCCTGAAGAAGAGAAGGCTCTGGGGAGACCTTACTGCAGATTTTCAGTACTTAAAGGAGGCCTATAAGAAAGATTGGGACAAGCTTTTTAGTGGGGACTGTTGCAACAGGACAAGGGTGTTTTAAACTAAAAGAAGGTAGGTTTAGACTAGATATTAGGAAAAAAATATTTACAATGAGAGTGGCAAAACACTGGAACAGGTTGCCCAGACAGGTGGTAGATGCCTCATCCCTGCAAACACTGAAGTTGAGGTTGGATGGGGCTCTGGGTACCCTGATCTAGTTAAAGGTTTTCCTACTTACTGCAGGGGCTTTGGACTAGATGACCTTGAAAGGTCCCTTCCAGCCCAAAGCTATGATTCTATGACATTTACCCTTACTGAGTTGGGGGATGGAGCTGGGAAACCAAGTACCAACCTTTTCCCTGTTCTTATTGCTTGATCCAGTGCTGCCCAAATTCCCAGCTATAACATCATTCTTTTAATGCTGAGGTAAGCTGTTAGAAAAATTTTTCTAGAAAATGGGAAGGTGTACTTGCTGTGGTTGGCTGAGCAGCACAAGTGTCTGCAATGCGTCCCAACAAGAGGAGTGTGGGAATCAAGTGCTTTTAGGTCATGGAAAGATGCAGAAAATTTGAGAACAGTTTGCTTTGTACAAAAACTTCATCTAGAAAACAGGATTTTTTACAAGCTACCAGAAGAGGCTATTGACACAATGTGTTACAAAATTGCCTCATAAAATAAAATGTTTTGAAATCTTATGTGCAGTTAGCAGACAGATTAATTAGAGAGTAAGTTATTTGTGATTGATAGCCAACCAACAGGTCAAAGCAAGGTTATCACAAGAGCTGGGTATGACTTGTAAAAAAAGTGATGAATATTTGCAGAATTTGTGAGAAGTTTTCTTAAATTGAATCTGGTAGCTGTCAAATGCACAACACAAATAAATATGTTTAAAAATATATATGAAGTTATAAATAGAAGACAGGAGAAAATTAATGGGAGAATCTACTTTTTTTTTCCCAATGACTTTCCCCTCCTGCCCCCCCAATGCCTTTATCCCACTGTCAATGGAGGCAACTGCAGCATTGTGGGGAGGTAACAGTGTGTGGATTTTGGTTAGAGACTGATGGTTTACTGCCTGAATCTTGACAAGACCAAACTTGCTGGCTTTCTGCATGGCTGGGTTCAGTAACTGCATCATTCATTAGTGTTAGGACTCGGATGTTTCTTTATAGGGAAATGACCAGGAAATGAAGAATTAAATGGCTGAGTTTGGTGGTGCTATAAAGAGGAGACAAAAGAGAATGTGCGAGGGAAAATAAATAAATAAAATGAGATTACAGTCATTGTACAGAAGAAGAGACTAACAGTGATGGAAAATGCAAGAAAGAAAATGTAGCAAATTTAGGAAGTAAACTGAAGCAGAATTAGATGGGAGGAACAATCCTGAGACAAAAGTGAATTCTGTATCTTAATTTTGTAAAGCTTAGTGCAAAAAAGGAATATAATAAATTGTCTGAGCTGGGCTGCTGGATTTTAGGGTGTGGTATGCTTGTATTGATGTCCATAATGTGCACATTTTGGGGATAACACTCGAATAGTACAGTGGCTATTGCTTTAAACCCAGAAATCCTCCATGGCCATGCTGTGTGTAGAACTATTCTGCTGATGGTAACCCTGTCTAGAAATTACTGTTCCATTTCAAATATTTATGTTTTCCCATTTGTCCCCATGATTTGTCATTTTACCTTCAAAACTGAAATATGTTGCGTTGGTTGCCAAATATTTTCCAACAAAAGCTCTTTGGGGGAGTTTAAAATAGAACCACACTTCAAAATAATACTTTGCTGACTTTCTGCTTTCCTTACTTGGTTTTGGCCTAGGATGAACTTTTGTCCTTTCCTAAGTTCCTTGAGCTATTCTTTGGGAGGCAGTACTCTTACCTCTGTGATGCTCATTTTACAGACTCTGCAACCCAGGTCATGGCTAATCCAGCCCAAAAAACAAACAAACAAACAAACAAACAAACAAAAAGGTATAATGTTTGTTTAGGATATATTTGACACTTGAAGAAAAAAGGAACTACTTCGGACAGATATCCTGTTGCTATTTCTTCTCAATTACCACACATGCATTTTGTTTTGTTTGAGAATTAAAAGTACAGCAGTAAAGCTATAGCTATTTATGCAAAGTGACTTTCTGTTTCCACTGATGTTTTTACACTTTTGTATAAAACTAACACAAAACTCCAGAACAAAACATCCAGTTTTAGTCTCATGACATCAGCATTTATACTGGAAACAAAAAAAAACAATGACAAAACTTGAAAGTGTATAAAATAATACAATAATGGAATGTCTTTGGTTGGAAGGGACCTTAAAGATGATGGGCAGGGACACCCTCCGATAGGCCAAATTGCTCAAAGCCCCATCCAACCAGGTCTTAAACTCTTCCAGGGAGGGGGCATCCTCAGCTTCTCTGGGCAACTTGTTCCAGTACCTCACCAACCTCACGTTTATGTATTGCTTATAAAATGAGAAAGCAAATACTGCTCAAAATTTACATATATAATGAAAATTATTACATTATATTAAGAACTAAGGGTGATAGACAAATAGTATGCTTGTGCCGCCCTAATCAATAACTGGGTTATAGTAAATTTAGATTAGCTTATTTCATTAATACACAAGTTTGAGGGCATCTACGCTGTGTTGCGATGGGGTGGACAATGGCAGATTGCTAATAAGCCAGGATTGTTTGCAAATAGTATAGACCTGCATTTGCTAGTATTTTTTATTACATTTTATTTTTAATTTCTGGGACACGCCTTATTTAATCACTTTCTATTTAACTTTAAACTAAGTAAAAACTGGAATAGAAAGGAAGTAAGAAACCATATGTATAAACACATCTTGAAGTTTAGACACAATTACAAAATTCAGGCAGCTCAAAATGAGAAATGACACCTTGTGCTTAATTTGTATCAGTGGGAAAAAGGATGTGAAAGGATGTAATCAGGGCAGAGTATCAGCTGGGATTTGTGTACCCATGCACATCCAAATTGTTAACAATGAACTTAATCTTTGATGTTTTCAGAAAAAAAACTCTTAAGGAAGTTAAACATAAGTCTGTGCTCTGTAAGAATTTTAATTTGATAACAATCACCACTTTGCATTAATTATTAAATGTAACTTAATTTACTTCTCCATTTTAGATAATTTATTTTGGGTTGTAAACACTTTTTTTTAGAAAGCTTGCTAAAGAACAGGCAAATACGATGCATACTGTGCATCTATAAATATAAAAATCAAAATTCCAATTCAAATCAGTAGATCTGATTGCACTACAGCAGTATAAGTTTTTAATACATTAAATAATGAACAAACATTCAAATTTCCTTTGGGTGTTAAATCACATTCTGGATTAAATAATTTGCCAAACCAATAGTCTTTTTTTTTTTTTTTTTTTTTTTCCCCAAAGGTCAAAGCTGGTTTTTACATATATAAGTAAGAAATAGTCAAATAAAGAATTTTAAAACTTTTTTTTTTTTTTTGACTCAGACTATACCATTGTAATTTTCTGATTTAATATTCCTCAGTTTGCTCAATGGTTTTCATCCTTCTGAATTATCTCGTCCAGATAGAAAATCCCAAAATACGGATGTGTAATAAAATGTTGACTTGGTCTTATCAATATTAGTGCAATACTAAGACAACAGCTAAGGGTTCTTAATGTTATCAGTAGTAGTGATAACTGACTTAGTGTAGGATACAATGTTCCAGATGTTTTATTTTTTTTTTAAATAAAATAATACCTTAATTTATTTGTATTCCACCAGCATGAATACATTCATTGTAAATCGCATGCACATAAAAGGGAATTAATTTGCAAACTACACAATATCTTAACAATAAATAGTATTTGATCTAATACATGATGGTAGTTCATTTCTTGTTAAAACTGCAAGCTTTTACCAAAATGAAAATGAACTCCTATTCTCCTTATAAATATTTTAAGTAATTTTAAAGTACATTTCATACTAAGTATATAAAAATAGCATTTTTAGATAAATTAAGAGTTTTCATTTACATGACAAATAACGTGCAACAACTAACCACTCTCTACCAGCTCTATTTGGTTGATTGTCTGGATGACATGCAGCGATAATTGTCCCTTTGCCTTCACAGAACTGACAAACAGACCAGCAGGACCCATGATCACCTGAAGCAAATAGTGCCATGGATATTGTTTGAGAACAACAGTCAGACACTCAGGGAGAACCTTTGCTTTGATGAACAAAAGCCACCCATGACAGTTCTTTTGTCCTAGACTTCCAGCTGCTTTGACCCTCAGGGTCTTTGGACTATCACAAAAGTCTGCCAAACAGACCAGTAAGTTATATCTGTATACAAAATGCTTTTCCACATGCTTCTAGAATCTAGAAAAGTTTTTTTTCCCCTATGGTATGAAGTGATAATACCTTTTCTTGCTTTCTATAAATCTGAATTTTCATATTGGTAAGTCTCTATGATCACCAGAGAAAAGGTCAAATAAAGCAGTCATGCATTACTCTCTAATTTAAAACTGGCAGCTGTGGAACATGCTTCGAGTACCACTTCACTGTTTCTCATTATACATCTATGGCTTGATAATCTTTATCTTTAACATCCCTTGTGCTCGTCACAATGTCTGTTGGGAAATCTGGGGTCTGTGCAGAAACTACTCTGGCTGTTCCTTCCAGGTCCCATGATCCTGGCAGGTTCTCAAGGCTTAGTGAGCTGATTGCTCCTTGGCTACAGCTACCTTCCTCGGACCTGCTGGGGAGCATGAGGTGTAGTGATGTCTCTGATGAAGAACATACAGAAGAAGAAAGAGTTGCTGAAATAGACTGAAGAGGAGTCAAGGTGGTGTCTGAATGAGGAGAGGTGCATCCTAAAAATCGCAGATTGTCTTTCTGAATTACCTGATACTGGGAGGGGGAATTGTGAAGGCCTGGTGTATAATAAAATTCATTGTCCGTAGAATTCTGCAAGTTCAGTTCAGTTCTTTGGGGACTGCTGCCTACAGCTGACAGATCTGTATTCCAAATGTCACATAATGTGTTGCTGTGACAAAGTTGTGCTTTGGTGCAAGTAAAGTTCCCAGCTTGCATGTGTGTACAGGGTTGGTGTGTAGTCCAAGCCACTCGAGACTGCAGACTTTCCAGAGTAGGGCTTCGAGATATACCGTGCACAGCACAGAACCCTGGAGGCTTCTGGGATGTGAGTAGGTTCTCCAGAAGGTGCATCACATTCTTCATATCCTTACTTAGTTGTGAAACTTCTTGAGTTAAAGTTGTCACCTGTTATGGCAGAGCAAAATATCACAGTATTTATTTATGCAGTCACGACTGAAATACACATGTACACTTTTTTTTTTTTTCCTTCTAATAATATCAGCTTTTATAAGTGGCACAGTGTCTTTAGTTTAAAGAAATACACTCTACTAGTATATGTGTGGGGAATTGTCCATACACCTACCTTTACCACAGCTACGTGTTAGGCTTCCCGTGGCATATTGATATAATTAAAGCAACTTAATAAAAGCGTATGATGGAAACACCATGGGCATACTCCTCCTGACTTTAAATGATACTCTGTATTTAAAGAATGGCCTTAGTGTCAGAACTGAGATGATTTCCAGAGGCAATATGACATTAATATCTTCTTGATCAATCATTCAATCATTAAATATTTTAATGCATACAACTTTAATGCATAAAAAAAGCATTACAAATTTATGCTGATGATGATATAAAAATGAGATCTTGTGAAATCTTTTTCAGAAGAATACATGTAAAATATACTGTTGTCCTCATAGTAAAATAATAGAAACCCATACCTGCAGCTGTCAAATGTAGGTAGTAGACTACTACTAAAAGCAGATGAAAAAGAAACAGGAAACTCTAAAAAACATTTACTACCTCTAAACTTCTAAACAATATAGAAGCCTGCAAAACAGTTTGCTTCTATGCAGTTATGTTCATGCTTGAAAGGTATTGCATATAACACTGAGAGAGATATTAATCCATGGCATAGGTTACTCTGGTGTCTGTGTAAAATGAAATATCATATTTTCTATTAGATTCTTTTTAATGCCAACCACTGATAGCATCCAATTAATTACAGGGATTACGTGAAGTTTTTAATTTCCTCAAAAGTGCTGGTCTGAGTGGGGATCAGATTGACCAGTTCTGAATTTGCGTTTTAAAGTAAATTGATACATGAACGTTAATGGTGACATTTGTTGGGACATTTTAAGGACATTTTGGGAAATGAAAAGCCTAAGTCGAACATAAAAGTGACCCGTTCACCATTTCTAATACGTTTCTCTCTAGTTTTTCCTTCTTAAGGTAATGTTTGTATAAAGTTAAAATCAGTCATTTTAATGAAAAGAGTATATAAAGAGGTAGAAATGAACTTTGTCTCCACACTAGCTAATCAATCTATTTCAGGTCAAGCCACTATCCTTACTATTAAAATAGAGTTTCTCATACTGATGCTAGTGAAAATACTCTGTTGAAAAAAAGACACCACTGCACATTATCTTCAGAAGGATAAATCACTTTTCAAAAAGAAAAAGGTTAATTCATATGGCCTTTGCCCTCAAGTAAAGACATCACTGATTAGGTGCCCTACACAGATTCATCTTCCTGTAATCAGAAATCGAAATACAATTCTAATTTTTCTAACAGGATAATTTCAAAGAAATCTGCTGAAAAAACATTTCAAGCTGAGTTTGTGTAACTACAGACACAATAATTATAAAAAAATTCTGAATTAGAAAGAAAGTAGGAAGCACCAATGCGGCTCCTATACAACTGTTTGTTTGTCTCTTAGATAAGAGTTCAAAACTATCATAGTGTTTAAGTTTTCTAATGATCACACTACCCAGGAGGGAAAATGCTTAAAGAGAGAAGGCTCTTGAGTGGAACATTATAGGATGTCTGTCTGCAACTCTCTTTCTTTCTGCCCTGTTACCTAATTAAGTCATACTAGACAAAAAATGGCCATGAGATCAAGTCCAACCCCCCTGCCAGAGCAGGACCATAGTACACATATAGGAGGTTTAATCTGATAAGATCAAGTTTTGTAAAATGCAGAGAAGGTTTTAAATGACCCAGAAAATTACACATACGCTTTGCCTATGTGAGAAGTATTGATCCAACAGACCTCACTAAATAGTGGTCAATTTCTAATGAAGTTGGGCATAACTACTTTGGATCTTAAACTACCATACTGCTGGAAACTATTCAAGCACACATCAAAGGCTGGTTTATCAAGTCAGTTGCTATGACTGTGTGAGAGCAAGCTTATGAGATGACAGCACTCTAAGAGCTAGCTGATATATTAAAAATAGTATCTGGGCACTACAGCAAGTCGTAATTAACATACATTCAGGACTGACACAAGGACTGATTCTAGAATTGACTTTTGTTGTATTGTCTTAACAAATTAGCAAAAGAAATATATTGAAGAGTAATTAAACTGTTAAAAAGCCTTTACATTTTCAGAAATGGAAGAGAAAAACAAGGACCAAACCAATATCACACATCATTCATCATTTTGGTAAGGTGCATACTCATAAGGTAGTACCAACCTTCCTATCTACATGACTGCAGAAGGCCCTGTAAAATGGATGCAAGTTGGAAAATTAGACACAGAAAACAAAGTTGCTTTATCTGCCAGGAGTCCGGGCTATCCTAAACTGATGACTACTGTATCTAGGTAGCCATGCGCTTGGTTGTCCTTCTCCCTTTCCTCCCAGAGGAGCTTCTGGAGGTTTTACAATGCCATCTCCAAGTTCCCAATGGAGCACAGAAGTTCTTCTGTGGTTGATCTGTCCACAAATCTCA